CCCAACTGTCAAATCTTAGCCTCCCCCAATAGGATCCCCCTTGTAAGGCGAGCACTTGAGAATAGAATGAGCTCGCTACTGTCTTTCACCTCAGAAAATGGCAAGAGTACCCCTTCAAAGACACAGTTTCCCAAGCACAATAATCCTTTTCTAGTAATTTCATCACAAAATTCAGCATATTCAATAATTCTCGAATGTCGCTGTGAATTAATTTTCTCCATTCCAGCAAGCACCCGACGCTCGTTGCACTACATTACTCGCTTTGTTCCACTTTTGTATAGATATTGATCAAAAACAACGAATTCCAGAATTCACTGACCTGTTGCTCATAGCGCTCCTTGAGCCGTTGAACTGTGTCAGCATGTGATCGGGTTACTGTAACGATAATCGCAATAACTGGTACAAATCCAGCCGATAGAATACAAATATTGATCGGAAATCGACGTCTTCCTTCGCAATCGATTAGTGCACATAGTGAACAGATCAATAGCAATGAGCTCACGATCGAGAACAGTAACGGACGCTGATGAACCGCGCTCATCGGCCGATTACGGTACAGGTCACGGTTACGGTAGGCAGATTTACGGAATATATTGGAGTCGGGAAATATGAAACAGAAGACTGGACACCGTGGCGACTAAATGTGGCCACTTTTTCGTGATTAAACAGTTGATTCTGTTGATCAACAGAATATCCTGGTGCAGGGAGGGGCAGAATTGCTAGTCGAAGGGTTGTGACAGATAATCCCGGATATGGGCTATATTGCAGCTACTGCGGTGGCGTCAACGGTGATGGAGTGGGTATGTATTGTCTCCGTTTCAGATGATGTATAGATAAGCGCGCATGAAAATCAGATCGAAATTCGGGGCGGAGTCAAGGGCGGCGCTCGTTCACCTCTATTCGCATTTCGCCCGGAAAAACCCCCATGGATGGCGCATCAATGAGATCACTGCGATTACCACAAAAAAAAAAAAATTGATGAGTAAAGGGAGACTTCGAAGAAGTGAAGTTAAAAGGGAGGGGGTGACGAAGTCTACGGCTCTAGGAAGTACTAAATTACTTTTACGATGGTTCTTATCAAACCACCACGATAAAAATCCCGGCGTCAAAGGGTAACCTACGAAAGTTCAGAGAAGCAGAATCCAAAAAACACCTGGGAAGGCAGAAGTGGGCTTTCTCTGGAGAGACCAGGTCACACTTTTCTGTGACATTTTTCCCTAAAATGCCCACGAAAAGCGAAAGCTGTGTGATTGGAAGGGCTATATTCCCATTCGGGTCTTTTTGAAGCGAAGTACTCCATGGTCGCTCCGAAACATGATCTCTCTCATGGAAGCAAACCCAGAACGATTACCAACAGGATCCCACGGGATATCAAACGAAACCTGGACGACCACCTATTCGATGGTCAGACCTCTTCGTGAAAGCTCTGAACGACTGCATGATGTGCCCTCCAGCACAGGGCATTGGGGAAAAGCAGCATGCTGCAAGGGGCGTCACTGGCGCCCACTCGAGCAACTCCATGATCAACGGGAGGACAAAGGACGGTGACCCCTTCCATATTTTCTTCCTCAGCACGACTCCCCCACAGAACATAGCGAAAATTCCCCATAGAGCGGAGGGGGGGGGGGGGTACATACACCTTCAATTAGCTATAAAAAGTAGTTACTGGGTTCAAAGTCCAGGGTGTTAACCGCTACACTACGGAACCACCGCCGAACTCTCGATCTCGCAGTCTCGCACAAGCGGAGCCGTGGCGAATCCAAACCCACTCATCACTTTGTGGGCCATGGTCTTTTAATCTCTTCACAAAACATTAGCTTCCACCAAGATTCGAACTCGCGTTACTGGATTCGAAGTCCAGGGTGTTAACCGCTACACTACGGAACTACGGCCGACCTCTCGATATAGAATTGCCGTCGATGCCTATTGATCGATCTGGCGTTTTGAGTCCCAGGGGATGAGTTCCAGGGTTAACGAAGTAAGAGTGGTTCTTAAGAGGTCCAAGGAAAAAGCGAGCCTGCGTCAGATTCCCAACTCATGTCTATTTCTTCTGTACCAATCAAGTGAATTCTTGCCAACAAAAAAGATGAGTATCGATTGGTGCGGTTGCGCGAAATATGAACGCAGCCCCACCGCTCTAAACGGGTTCTTAACTAGTTATGCACTTCCACTGCTAAATGGAAATCCAGCTGAAGCCCTTACCCTTTACGATCGTGTACTTTTCGCTGCTATATTTCTGCCCAGGTCCAACTCAACAGAATGTTTGCCAATTTCCAAATCGATTTTTGCAGCAAAAATGTCAAAATCACCTTGATCATTATGATTCCTGTGCCGCTCCACATCCTCATGATGTAATTTTTCTCGTTGAGCTAGATGGGCACGCAATTCATCCACAATTTCTGACTGCCGAGCTAAAAATTGGTTTTTTAGAGATATATGTAACTGAGGAAAACTTTATTGCAGGCAATAAACCAATAATTATCGTGGCTTAAAAATTTGCGTGGGCTGCTAAAATAGCTTGCACAAAGCCACCAGTCTAATTCTCACTACTTGCACGACTTAACTCCAACAGTTCTCACGCCTATTTCTAG